TCTGGTGACAAGCCTACTATCAATACACACCGTTTGACAATAGCGAATAAATGTTCAATCAAATATTTTACAATCAATTTCGAAATGTACAGCAAATGAGGGAGTGTTGAATCAATAAATTAGAGGAAAACGAACACGATTTTCTTGTATGGCATTTGTTTTCATTTTTGATGCGCTTGAAATCAATGCCATTTGTTATTCAATAATTTGGTTTTGTAATTCATTGTCAATGCTGAAACGATAAAGTAATACAAACCAATTAAAAATGAGGTAACAATGACATAAAAGAACAGTTATAGTTCAAAAGCAACAAACAATTCTCTCTCTCTCTCTCTCTTGCTTACCAAAAGAGATGAGCTCGGAGCAATCGAATAAGGAAGAGAGAGAGATGCCAATTGATATGCACAAAAGTGTTTAACATGTGTGTACATCTACTATTGAAGTTGTGATGTTCAATCATGAATAAGAAATGAGTTTCATATGTTTCGTTTGATTTGAACTATTTCGTTATGTCTAACGAACGAACGAACGAGAAACGGGGTCTATTTTTGTTTTTATTCATTCATACATTTGCGCACACATACGAGCATTTCTATTCATTTCGTCGTCATTTTTATCAACAAAAAAAAACTGATTTTTTTCCTTCTTTTATTTCTCATTTGACATGCAAAAGAGCTCGGTTTCTTATTCGTGCGTGTTGCTTTTGAATACTTTGTAAGCCGAAGCCTCGTGTCTGGTGTCAGTATGAAGACGACGACTAAGACGATCAGAATGATCGTGTGTGTATGTGTGTGTGCATTATAATCGAATTCACGCTTGCACGTGAGAAAGAGAACATATGATAACAGCCCAACGGGATGTGTGTATGTTTGTTTGTCGTACATCGTCGTCTCAGCTGTGTATTTCAATTTCTCTGTTTCTGATCATTTCGCTATACATGACTGTCTGTTTGCGTATTTATTTTGGCTTTGATTTTGTTTTATTTCTTCTTCTTCTTTTTTTTTCTACGAAAGCATCTCAATAAAATCAAAAACCAGAAAACAAAAGTGGATTGAAAATAATTTACACAAAAAGAGAAAAAGAGAGAGAGAGAGAAGCGATAACTAGCCCAAGCGAATATTGCCAAATAATCATCAGATGTAGTGGCCACCCCACCGCATCAAACACATGTGGTTAAAAAATGTTTTCGTTTTTATTTGATGTATTTCTGTGTAAACATTCATAGAATTATCGTCGTCATTCTGATTGAGCTTTAAATGGATATTGGTTTTTATTATGATGTTTTCGATACATGTCAAACGATAGCTTGATGGGTATTTGTTAAAATATACGGCCGCCTTAAAAACACAAAACCTATATATTATAGCTCTATTAACACCGTGATTTCGATAAAGGATCAAACACCTCTCTCACCTCTGTCACATGGCAAACGAAATAAATGATCGTGTATTGATGTTAAAATCGTTTCGATAAATCGCTTCAGGCCATAATGTGCGAAATTTCACACAATTGTGTTAAAGTAAGTGGAGGGCCCAATGGATATTAAGTCCGCTTTGGGAATAAACTAGCCAAATTGAGTGAATTGAATGATAATTGAAAAACAGTGTGCTTGATATATATGTATATATTTCGGATGAACATAACATATAATAATCAGAATAATATATACACAGTACATTACACACATCACACATACGGTGTGCGGTGTCATTTGCACTGAACATGAATGTGGACTTTACTCAACGATGAAATAACGTGAATAAAAAGCCTTGAGAACCATGCAAGCTAAGAACCAATACATACACTCAATAACTATAGGTATTTCTGGCTCAAAACTATAAATTTTCACATGCACAGACCTTGTTTACATTTTATACACACTTCTTTTTTTTTGGACACGGCAACACACGCGATACAACTGAAAAACTTTGAAATTGAGCCGAACAAAAAAAAAATGGTAAATGCCGACGGAGCCAGAGAGGGAGTGAAAGAGAAAATAGGTGATTATCGAAACAGAGCAAGTAATATAAACGGGCAGTTCTAAGTTATGAAACTTGAAGAATCACAAAATACAAAAGTCTCGGTCGTTGTTGTTGTCTGTCTATCTGTCTAAGGTTTTTTTTTAGTTTTAATTTCAGACGGCACACGCACATATTAAATGTCTGTTTTCATCATCTTCATCTTCGCTCCGGTCATGCATACATTTACGTCAACACCATGTAATTTCAAGATTCTAATCGAGTTTAATAAGAATTGACAATAATCGGCAAGTTTTCAAGCCTAATGCAAACTGAATACATAAATCGAATGAGCAATCTACCGAGAGGAAGAGAGAGAGAGAGAGAAAGAGAGAGAGAGAGAGAGAGAGAGAGAGAGGGAGAGAGAAGGAGCAAATATCAAACAACAATCATACGCTACACTGAACTGTGCTGTGGAAGAGCCCTCTCGAATAACTCTTCTCTTTCTCAATCTATAAACAAAAACATCAATTACAGTGCATAAAATGTAATATAATCCAGACGCATTGGAAGGCACACGTATCATATGCATTAGGATAGTGTGCAACGAACAAGCATACAGTAACGAAATTCCCGGAAAAAATCTAGAGCATTTGATTTGAAAAATCAGTTGATTTAGCTTCGATTTTTTATATGCATAATTGAATACGCGGCGCATTCATATTTTCCAATTGCTTTTGTTGTCTGGCTTCAACATGTTTTCACTTCTTCTTCTTCTTTTTTTATTGTTCCAATTAAAAAAAATCTCTACACACATATGCCATGGTGAACGCGTAATTATATATGCGGCGACACATCAGCTGAATCGAAGAAAGCGCGCACACGATCTCAAATGCCAAATGAGATATGATCATAGAACAAAATTATTAATATATACACAACTGAATTTCGAAGTTTAAGGGCGATAATAATAAAAAAACGTACTTATTGCTTTGTTACACAATATTGACATTGTAGCGAATGAATTTGTTTGAAAATAATAATCTTGTTCGTTTGTCGCTCGTAACCGTTGCACATACACATTTACACGCAATTTTGTTCGCGCAATAACTTTTTTTTCTTCAAACGACAGCGAACTATAATTTGTCATCACTATGCGAACAACTCTGTATGAAAAAAAAAACTGTTCAATTACTTGTGCTCATAAAGAAGAAGTGAAAATTAATTCGTGTATCGCATGTACGCGATTTCAGGTAGAATACAAAATTCGCACTAGAGACAAATTCGAATGCGATTCTGGGATTTTTTTACGCTCTATCATACTTCTTTTTCCTGTTTTATATTCAGTGTTAAAAACGAAATTTACAACAAAATTGCTCACACGCAAACACACAAAAGAAAACACGCAAAATGATTTGAGAACGGCGGTTAAATACGCCGAAAATTTCAATCGAATTCATTTCTTTTTTACTCGATAAAAAAGATTTATACCCACATTGAAAATAACTATCTCTCTCTCTCTCTTCTTCTGTCTCACACTCACTTTTTTTCGAACAATATTCATTTGCGATTTTATGTGTGATCAGTTGAGGATTAAACTTGAATCAAGTTTCACACATTACTCACATTTTCCACTCTCATTGCCACACATTCACTAGTTGATCGGTTTTGAAATTGTTTATTAGTTTGAAAAAGCTACAACTTCTTTTTTTTGCTTCTTTTGTTGTTGCTTGAGCTCTCACTATTTCTTTCAATAGTTAACCGTCTATTGACGAATGCACACAAATTATAATGAATTCTATTTTTTAATACATTTTTTTTGTTGCTGTTTGTTTGTTATGTTATCGCTAATTCATTTTGTTTGAAAGGTTCCATTTATTTTGTATCTCAAAGTGCTTCTTCTTCTCTCTGTTTTTGTTTTTTATTTCTTTGCTTCTTATTCGGTGTTCACACATTTACAAGTAAATTAAAATAAAACGAACCGTTTAAGTACTCGAAAAGTAATGGTTAAAATAAATGTCAATGGCATTTGACAAAGAGCAGCTAGAACATTTTAGTGTATCATTTGACGCAAATAAAATAAAATCCAAAACAAGCGATAAATAATTAAACACAAATCTAACATTAACCGATAATAAATGATAATAAAGGAATTTTTGATTGACGAGTGCGAAAACACTACAGACAAAAGACCGTACGACATCTGATGGAGGTGCAACGAACACTGAATCAGATATTTGTTGCGAATCGTAGATTTCTTACACACATTCTAGTGCGGGATTGGATTGAATTGGGCTCTCCGTTGTGCATGTGTGTTGGTATTTCATTCTCACTCACTCGCATTGCCATGAGCTGGCTATTCGGTCGTGTGTTGATGTTGCCGTCGCTGTTGTTGCTGCTGTCAGGCTATCTATACAAATGTATATGAGTATATACGATGCGAAGAAGCGAAACCTATGGGAAAATATGAATCGTCCATTGGTATGTACATGCGGCTTGAATCTCTCACACAAAACATTTTTTTTTTTGTTATAGAGTGTGTGACGAAAGAACAATATTGTACACGTGAGCATCTATGCATTAATGTTATAGTGAATCGATTCGTTGGCCACCCTATACATTGAACTCTCAGTAATAGCGAACAAACTCAACAGAGAAACGAGAAAAAATGAAACAAAAAAAAAAAATCATATGTTCTCTTCTATCCGTGAATGTAAACTTGTAAACACTAACACCATTTTACATAATGATATCCATTCAGTCACATATATACACATGGTTCTAGAATTTTGATTGCGTTTTCTTGTTCGGTCGTTGTGCGTATGTGTCGTTACGCATTGGTATGTTGTTGTAACATGTGATTGTGTGCGTCCATTGGTATGCTTGTGTGTTAAGTTATTTTCTATTTTGCTGCAAAGCAATGCGGATGTATTTAAATCGACAACGTGCTTTTTCGTGCGCTCTCTTCTCACTGTCATAATCAGAGGCATTACGAACGATAGCAGCAAATAGTAAACTTCAGACGGTGCAAAGGAATTGTGGCACATTCTGTGCGCGCGGTGTCCCGAAAAATAAATCTCGCGCTCCCATTCACTCGCTCTCTTTCTCTATCGTACACTCTCTCGCTGTGTGTTTGCAATTTTTGCGTAACATTTTGTACCAATTTTTTTTCGTGATAGTTGGTGGTGCTTCTGCTGATTCTGTTCGCTGCTCTGTTAGTGTTTTAAACGATGTTTTTTTTGTGTTTTTCTCACTCTCGCTACTTGTATCACATGTTGTCGTCATTTGGCACTGCATACATCTCTCGTATCATAATCAAGTCACATCGTGCAGGATGACACAGTCACCTTTATTGGCAAAAACATTGGCCAACACACATCACAGTCCTTCGTTAACTCAGAGTGAAAAAGAAGAGAAAAAAAATATCACGAAAATACAAAACCAGCATAAATGATCAATGAGCTTGACGAGCTAAACTGCAGAAATATACTTATTCTTTCTAGCGCGCATACACATACACCCCAAGCAAATTTTAAAGGCACACTCTGTTGCTCATTGCAATATCGTACTTTCACCCATCCGAATCTGAAAGCATGCAAGCACATATATAAAATAGATTTCTGTCGTCGTTTGTTTCATTTTTCCTTTCAAAACCATTTTTGCATGACAATAAAAATAAATTGTCTCATTGCTTGAGTCCGGTGTGGAAAAAAAAGCAACAACCAAAACATTTCACCATGAATCCGGTGATTTATTGGTATATAAAGAATATTTTTTTTAAATATATTTTCTTTTCGACTAATTCATACATGAAAGACTAGCAAAATGCATATATCTTCACCTGACACACTGCCACCATCATAGTAACTGCCGTTGTTTTTGCTGACACGGTGCTTGTTATCCTTCTGTTTACAAAAAAGTTTCGCTTGTGAACTTGACAAATTAATAGGTGAACGGAAAGACAAAAGTTTTTATAGAATAGTTTGTATCCCAGGTCTTACATTGTTTGTTTCTCTCTTCTTTTCTTCTCTCATTGTCTCTTCTCTTCGCTATTTTTCTCTCTCTTTTTCGATATCGCAAAAAAATAATAATAATAACGTGAAACTGTTCAGAAGTCGATATCCATGATGTTGAATTTATATTAGAGAGAAAAACGATCAATATTGCGTTTGGTTCCGCACCAGATACATACACACAGCGCACGCATTCGCCACCGTCGATCCTTTACTATCAACACAAACTTGACCAGCAACATGCTAATAGAAATCACTTTTTGAATGGGACAAATTGAAGTCGAATAAAAGTTTTTGCCAGCACCCACTATTCTCCCCATTCAGTTTTTAGTTGTTGAATACAAACGCGCAGTAGAGCTCATAAATTCTTTCACACATTTTGTCTCTCTCTCTCTCTATTTCTCCTTTTTTTTATTCATATATGTGAGTGGATTTTATTCGCCCTATTCCGTTACGACCTTGTAAATCGTTTTGGAAAATAGCGAAACGTTTTACACAAAAAAAATTATGCAGTTTTTCTGTACTTCCTTTCATCGTGCTAAGGCTAACTTTCATTTGGCATTTCGTTGGATTAAAACTTAAATAGAACGAATTTTTATGCGCTCTGCATTACTATTCACAGTGACTGGAAACCGTTGCTTTGAGTTCATGGTTGTTGAGACAATGACAGATAATGCAACGCCCATTCTTTAATTGTTGTTTTTCTTCTTTTTCTTCCATTTCTATGCTTATATTTTCTTGCAAATCATGACAAATTTTAGTTTCGTTTTATATTTGTTTATGTTTTTAAAAATGCTCCAGTGTATTTGTTTTTTAAATTTTCTTAGGTCAATATTGTTGATAACCCATAAAACAGCAAGCTAAACTCATCGCATATATAGCAGCTGGTAATTGTTCACATTTCTGTATTCATCCAGTCATTGTCATCAGAGAGAGAGGCATCGTTCGGTCAAATCGCTTGAATAAACAAAAAAAAACCATCGAAGACGATTTATACACATTGTATAGAGTAAAAATTTGCTGGAAAATGTCGTCGACAGTTAGAAACCCTTTAAAAGCCGCTTTACGAAAACAAATCAAAGCAATTTTATTGACCCAATCACAAGAAAACAAAAAGATCCAATCGGATGCCATAACCAAAAAGGTACTTTTACCAAAGTTTAATCGCTTTTTCCATTATTTGAGGAACTATATGTATAAAGAGATAACCACATTACCTTTTCCTTTAACATTCATCTCTCTCTCTCACACATATTTGTACCAGATACTCGATTCGGATGCATTCAAACAATCGACACGTATCAGCGTTTATCTGAGCTTAAATCAAGAGGTTAATACGCAGGCTATTCTCAATGAAATGTTTCGTCAACAAAAAGAAGTAAGTCATATACAGATGAAAATCGCCAACCACAATACTCATCATCATGCATTATTCATTTTGATTTTGATATATGTGTGTGTCTGTTTTTATGCAATCGATGCAGGTATTCGTTCCATCATACAGTGGCAACAAAATGGTTATGCTGAAAATAACCGATATGACCGATTTTGAATCGTTGCCATTGACAAAATGGAATATTCGTCAACCAAATTACGATGGAATCAGAGAAAGTGCCAATGATACGGGTGAGCTAGGAATTTTCAATTCGTATAGATACAATTTGCATGGTATTTGACAAGTTTAGTTATTGTTTGCTCTTTTCCACACACAAAAATCGACACAAAGGTGGACTGGATTTAATTTTATTGCCTGGTGTCGCATTCACTCGAAAGGGTGGTCGGTTAGGTCATGGAATGGGCTACTATGATAAATACTTGAGCGAACATTTTGAACAAAATCAACATCGACGATGCAACGATCTATCATTGTCGTCATCGGAAACAAGTATTTCAACAAAGCTAAAAGATAAGAAAACCATTTTATTGGGTTTGGCATTCAAGGAACAAATTGTTGATGATGTTCCATTGGAGGAAACGGATGTTTTATTGGACGATATCATAACTGCATAAATCTTTCACATTCCATGCGAATGAAATGAATGACTAATGAACCTTTTCTTTTTCAAATCAATGAAAAGAATCTGTTGATTGATTAATTTGTGAATATCAATATTATTTTAAGATATTCCATTTTTTTCTCGCAAAATGAAAATTTTGTTTTCAAACTAAGTTAAATTACAAATAAATTGTGATTTACTCCAAACATTTAAATAAAGAAAATACATTTTGTACTTTATGTATCAAAGTAATAACAAGTATTTCCATTTTCCGCTTATTTCAATATTTCATTTCAACACAGATGCTGACCTCTGGTGTCGTTGACACGACTAATTAGTAATTACAAATGTCAAACTAAAAAGTGTTGTATATATGTTGTTGGTTGTCTGTGATATGTCATTCTCTATCGAACTGTCGACAAGAAAGGTTTTATGATAATATTGTGTTCAAGCGAATATTTGTCTTAATTTATTTTAATTTTGTGAGCTAAAGAAGTTCAAGTGTGCTAAAGTTATTATGGCCGACGATTTACAAAATTATAAATTGCAATTGCAGCAGGTAAGCAAAAGAAAAACCGAAATAAATCATTTCAGAAAAGCCGAACATTTTGGCTCCATTTTTCTGTGTTATTTATAATTTGTTGTGTTTTTTGTTTACAATTC